ATACACATCATAAACATGCTGTAGCAGGTTCTGGGCAATACCCAGAGTATTATTAATTCTCAGAAACAACATATATTTTTAAATTAACTTTCAAAAAAACTTATATCAACTAGATTTTCCAAAGTCATAATTTCCATATTTACTTAGAAAGGAAATCTACTGCCCGGTGACAAAGTTTCAGACTTGCCTTGAGTGCTCCACAACTCTAAATTAATTTACCGTTGTTTCTCCAACAAATGGGTCCTCCTTTTCAAGACACAACATTAACCCACCCACAGATTTTTATTTCAGTTGAGTCAGACTTAGGGCCTGAAATCCCACCTCAGGTGGGAAAAACTAAAAAGTCAAAACATCAAATACAAAGTCCAAAGCCTCTGTCTTTTATCCACATAAAACTCCCAGAACACATTCAGAATAAGCCAAAAAGTGAGGCGCAGGCCTCTGCAATCTGCTTCTGGAAGGGAGAGAAGGAGAATTACCGAAGCAAGCTCCAGCAACATGCAACCTGACGTGGTAACTGCACACACACATGCACAAACACGCCCTCTTTATGCTTTGACTGAGAAAATTCAACCTGGCTTGCAGGATACCAGGTAAGTCCATAGGAAAAACAAGACCAAAAATAAAATTAACCTTTGATTCACCTTTAATCGATGTTTTTAAAAAAGTGAATCTTCTAATCCATATGTGTTAACTACAGATGAAAATGAACTTGGATTCTATAGAGCGGATGTTGATGAAATAGCAATGGTTGGGTTCATGCAATACTTGGGGGTTTTTTAAGAATAATTTCTATTAGAAGGCTAACGACATCTTTTCTAGTCCACACACAAAAGGGAAGAGCTGGTTTACTCATTATAATCATCAATGTCTTTCTTCACAGTCATGAAATTAGTGCACTGGGTTTTTCTATAGAGTCCACGGCAAGTTTAGATCTTTCACACAAGGTCAGGCGTGAGAAAAGATACTCTTAACAAGCCTGGCTGTCTGGGTCCAGGCACTGAGCTGTGCACTCCCCGGTGTTACCCAAAGCCTATAAAGAAACATACCTGAGAAGAAAACCCATCTACATACACGAAAGAGACATAGTCATCTAATGAGTTCCAGAACAAACTCTGTCCCACGGTTTCCTGCAGCTAATTAATAATGATCATCTCACTTGGATTCACTGCCATTTAGTGTGAATTTTTCTCTTGCATCACCTCAGTACTCCTCACCATAACCCTGTAAGGTAGGTATTACTAGCCTCATGTTACAGATGAGAAAATTGAGGCCCCTACAGGTGGATGACTTGCCAAGGCCACACAATGAGTAGGTAGCACAACAGATATTCAACACAGTTCGATCTCATTCCAGCCCCACGTTACAAATACCGAATCTTGAATCTCTGTATTTTCTTGCTTCCCTATTTCTCCTGAAGTGACTAAGTGATTGCATTTTTAGTTTGTTTTTTTTTTTATCCTCACCCAAGGACATTTTATTTTTATTGCTTCAAGAGTGAGAGAAAGAAAAAAAGAAACATCTATGTGAGAGGAGCATTGATTGGCTTGCCTTCTCATATGCACCCTGACTGGGGATAGAACCCACAACTTTTCAGACTATGGGGCAACACTCTAACTGAGCCACACCAGCCAGAGCTGAAGTGACTTCCTTTAAAAAAACATTTTTTTCTCCCCCGAAGTGCAAAACTGTATTGGGGTAAGAGTCTAATTCCACCCAAAGGCTCATCTTAATCACAATTAAAGCACAAATGCAGCTTTTAGGCTCCTCTAAAGAATACCCTAGAGAGAACTCTGCTTTGCTCATCTGAGGGGTCCTGCTTCTACTCCAGAAATGAAGCAGGTTCCTAATGAGGATCCTGAGCCCCAGTCCCCTGTCAACAGAGACATCCTTAAACTACCTTTTAAATTAAAAAAACAGAGTGAAAACACAAAGGGAGAAATTACATGGCAATCTGTCCAGAGTTTTGTCCTCTCATGATACAAAAGCAAGAAAATCTGTTCTTAAGCTCCCAAGCATGCTGAAATCCATAACTTCCCATGGTTTATGGACTTGGCGTCCATCTTCTCACCCCATCCCAGCATCCCCAGTTTCCATGGCAGCACAATGGAGCACAGAGGCTTAGTAGTTTCCTTGCCTTATGATCATCCTACACACCTCCCAGCCAAGAATGACAGAGAGTGTATCCTCTCTCCCCTTCTACTTTCAAAATGGAACACCCCACTCACACACACACCCTTGTTTTTAGCAAGGAACACGGCTACTTACTCCTCTGCAGCACAGCATGGGTGTGTCATTAACTTCTAGCTAAAAGCGTCGAGGCCAAAGTATCTTATGGCAACTTCTATAGTGACAGCGCCTTTCTTTAACCTTTCCTTCCAGCTGACTGAAATTGGATGTGATGACTGAATAGTCTAGCATCCTTCTTGTTCCATATGATCATTGTCACTCCTGGGATGGCGGAGCAGAAAACTGACATGAACCTAAGGCCCTGGGCTCTGGACTCTGGACTTCAAGGTGAGAATAAAATTTTATGTATTTTCTATAAATTGTTGATCCCATTTTAATTAGATGGACTTTAAGAGGAAATATGTGGTACCAAAAATACCCAGGTAAGGAACTCCTCTATGATTTGCAAATTAGTCCCAGGTAACTCTAAGCGTATCAGAGAATAATCTTTCTCCTTCCTGGATGTCCCCATCCTAAGCATCTCAATTTCAGGGGCTGCCAATTGGCCCCATCCCCTCTCTGGCTTCTTCTGTCTCCAGCCTAAATGGAATACACTGCCAAAAGAGTGACACGGGGTGACCAGATGCTCACACCTGCATTCTGATGCTCACCTGGCAGCTGATTCCATAACAAAGCAACCCCTGCAGAGGCAGTCTTCTCTCACACCAGCTGCCCCACCATTGGGGTCAGTTGGGGACAACCATAAGAGCTGACATTTTCTGAGTGCTTACTATGTCTAAGCTCTGCTCCAAGCATCTTACATACTGCAACCACTTTGAGCCACTCAGCAACTTTTTAAGGCAGATACTGTTATTGGACTCATTTTATAGATGAAGAACCCCGGGTACAAAGAGGCTAAACAACATGGCTGGGATTCAAACTCACAGGGACCTGCCTGACAGCCTATGAAACAGGCCCATTACCCTATGCCGCTTTTCAGGGAGAGGAGAAAAAGAAAGGCAATGAAACTAAAAAACAGGCACTCCTATTCGAAAGGAGCCACATTTCATTCGAAATCTTAATTCTGCTTCACTCTCACCACACCAGAAACTTCCTACCATGTTATCCTGCTTCAGATGTGTCATCACCTACACATTCTAAAGTGACCTTTCCAACAATTAATAACTGCAGAGCAGGTAGGACAGGGTAGCAGCAGTAAAAATGACCTCAGCATGAGATAAAGACAGAAACTGACTCATGGAAATGAACAGTAACCTCAAAGATCTTCTACGCATTCTAGCACCAAGACACCATGGGTATTTTGCTTGAAGGGTCAGAGTTTTAGAAAACAGCCCACTGTTTGCACTAGTACCTCAGTTGTTGGGATTTGGGAAGTCCTCCAGTGCAGTGCATGAAACTGGGGGTTGCAATCTTGTCAGAGAGGCTTGGTGGGTGTACAAGAGTCAAGGGCTGAGCTGGCTATGCCCCAGGCTTCAGGTAAGAGGACACAGGGGTCTCAGAAGACAGCATTCTGTGCAACTGACAATGCTACTCACCTTACTTTTTCCTGGAAGGTAGAGGTGCTACAACCAAACTGCCAATCAGGGCTAAGTCGCATCTCTGGCTCTTTAACACTTAAATGCTTTCCTCTCCTGATGTAAACCCAGTTCACCAGGGTGGTTAATGTGCCCCAAATACACACCTCAGAAATGTGACATTCCTCACCAAACTCAACCACATCTAGCCTAAAATTTGGGGGTTGGGAGGAGTCCTTCCAGACCAGAAGTTACCAACTCAAATGCCTGCAGAGGCCAGCAATGAATTGAAGCCTGCATGGTTGGGACTGACAAAGTGGTGAGTATGCAACCCTCTGTACAAACAGCCACTCTCAGGTCCAAATGATTGTTCTCACAAGAAAGTAGGGCCAATTCTCAGCACACTTGAAGGTGGAAATTCACACATGTATGTGAAATCTCCCAGTTCTAAAATTTTCATATTAAATTCAAAAAAGTTTGGGGGGTCAGGGGGGTATAATGGGGCTAAATAGGAATGAAAAATACAATAATAATTTTTAAATAAAAAAATAAATTCAAAAAAATGTTTGACACCCTAAGGGCTCAACACAGCAACAGGTGATTTGGCCCTGGAGAGTAAATTTGCAGCCAGAGACCACTGAGGCCACCCTGTACAGGATTAAAAAACACTGCCAGGTGGGGCCTTCCTGGCTTGGGTCAAGGATCTCAAACCAGATGCAAGGCCCCACTTGGAGCCCTTCCATATCTGGCCAGAAGATAGAAAGGACAATTTAAACCAAGGTCTGAGAGGCATCCCATCCCGAACCACCTCTTTCAGGAGGCTCAGAGGACAACCACCATCACCATTCTACGGGACTGCGCCATCTGCAGAAGTGGCAGCCACCTGCGGAGGCCTCTGTGAGGCAGGAAAAGAGACAGAACCTCACTCTGTCAGATGAGGAAGGGCAAGTGGGCCGCAATTAGGGAGGAGGAGTCCTCGGGAAGCAGGACTGACCAGGCAGGGTAGGTTCAAGAGACTCGTTTTAAAACTTCTGGTGCTGGGAATGAAGAAGGGGTAGAGGGTATTCACTCCTTGGCAGGTGAAGCCTCCCGGCTCCACCGGCCTTCCCTGGATGGAACATCACCTGCCTCATATAAATATATCCCTTAAAAGGACCCTTCTGTAGTGATGAATCCTGGCTTGGGAAGTCACTCTGACAGAGGTGATTCCTTCACTCTGCCTAATTCAGTCACTTCTAGAAAGTTCTTTTCACCACCTCTTCCCAAAAAAAGAATCCCCAAAGCCCCACAACCTACCTTGGCACTGGAATCCTTGCTTCCCGAAGCCCCTGCAAAGGCAGAAGGAGGCAAATCAGGCAGCTGGAAGGGCCCAGGCACCAAGGTCACCCCCCTTTCCTACGCCCCTCTACCCCAGGTGCAACCTCCCAGCCACAGACCGGTGCCCAAGAGTCTTCCGCCTTTGAAGGCGAGAGGCGGGGGAGGCGGAGTGGGGGGGGGTGGGGGACTCGGTGGTATCCCCCCACCTCCCCTCACAAGGCAGGAGACAGGCGGCTGCGACCACCAGGTGGCGTTTCGGTGGTGGGGCGGGGGAGCGGAGGGTAGGCGGGAGATCTGTTCTCAGAGATGCCCGAGTACCCTCGGGGAAAGAGAAGAGATAAAGGCGCAAGGAGCCCAAGGATGAGAGTCCCCGCGGCGGTGATGCTTCCGGGGGGCCTAGGAATGGAGAGAGGACTCCCCATGCCTAGAAGAGCAGGGAGAAGAAAAAGGCCGGCAGGGTTGTGAGGGGGGATCTAGGAAGTGGAAAGGGGAACCCAGGCCTTCACGGAGGCGCAACGAGAAATAGCACCGGGCGCAGCCCCGGGAGACCCAGGAACAGAAAAGGATGCCCCGTGCCCGAAGAGAGAGAGAGAGATGATACCCAGGGCTCTGCCTCCAGAAAGGAGGGGTGGAGGTGCGGGCGCCTGCAGCCCGGAAAGAGGTAACGAGACAGGGAACCCAGGGCGAGAGGGCACTCCCGAGGAGGAAGAGACCCCATGGTCTGAGCGGCCCCGGGGCGCTCCGGAGGCAGCTGGGAGAGAGAGGACAGCGGACGCCGGGCGGCCGGCCGTCTGGAGCCTGGGCAGAGGCTGGCCACCTGGAAGTCCGGGCCAGAGGGTAGGAGCGGGACACCAGGGACGCGGGTCGGCTGGGCTGCTTGTCCCTCCCGGGCGCGGAAGGTCCCCACGCGCGGCGCTGCCCTCGGGACCGGCAAGGCGCCCTGCGCGCGCCCTCACCAGATGAAGTCGGTGCAGTGGCTGCAGAAGGTTGGCTGCTTGAAGAAGCGGGCGGTGAATTTGTGGTTCTTCACCTCGTGCACGTTCTTCTGCCGGAGGGCGCCTTTGCGGGCGAAGCGCACGGTGCTCTCCTCGCCCTCGGCCGGCGGCGGCCCCGCAGCCGGGTCAGCCATCTTGCGCGCGGGGCGCGGGAGCCCGCGATGAGTGGCCCGGGGCGTGGGGCCCCGGCTGTAGCCGGGAAGCGCGGGGAAGGCGGCCGCTGCAGTCGCGGGGCCGGGGCGCTTCCCTGCGCCGCTCTGGCTGCCGCGCGCCCGGAGCTGCGGCTGTCACTCGCCCAGCTGCCGCCGCTTGTCCAGATGCGCTCGGCACCGCTGGCCCCAGCTGCGGGGGTGGGAGGCGGAGCCCAGGGCTGACACGCCCCCTCATTTGCATCGCGCGCAGGCCCCGCCCCGCTAGCTGCTTTACATATTGGCACCCAACGGCTGCGGGCGTCTGGGGAAAGCTTTCCCAGACGCAGCTCTGCGGTCATCAGACTCCAGCCTAGCTCCTAACTCATCCTCGGCCCGGGGTGGAATTAAGGAGGTGAGCACCTTGAGTGCTACCAGAGGGGAGAAAGAGCGGAAGGACTAAAGGAGGCTGCGAATGGGGGTGGATGGCGAGGCGCGATGGATTCCATCCCAACCTCTTCAGACCCATTCACCCACCCACCCCCCATCCATCCCATTGGTCATTCTTCATGCGTCTCTCGGAGGGATAGGTTCTCGCTGTCACTCATTTCTGGAAGGCCTGTAGCTCCACCCGCGCACATATGAACTGCAGAGGTAGGGGAGGAGCAATCTTTAGGTTATATATATATATATGTATATATATACATACACACACACACACACACACACACACACACACACATATCTAACTTCATCACAAAGAGAATTTTTGGCTTTGCTTGCCTGGCAAGTTAGAAGAGAACGCCCTACCTTCTGTCCATCCCTTCCACAAAGAGACTCAGTTTCCTCAACAGTAAAATGGGCTAATGGGGAAGAGAGATTTAATAGGTCAGTATTTCCTCAACTTCATTTATTCCTGACCCATCTTCATAAATGCTAGTCATATTTGTGTACTATATGGGGGTGGGGGGGAAGTCCAGCTGGTTTCTCAGTTTGAATAGCAAGAGGTATTTGTACTATTAAATCTCCCCAAATGCTGCCACCTGCCCAGAACAGCTGCACTTGGGCCTTCTTTCATTTGTTAAGAAAGGAGACTGACAAATAACGTTAGAGAGATGTTGAAGGCACGCTAACATCCAACTAGGGCTCTCTCCTGGATGGGAGGATGGAAGGTAAACAAAAGAGTAATAGTTGTCTAGCTGAGTAATGCACTGTGCCTCACACTTGGAAGGCAACGCTGCACTAGACTACTAATTCCTTCCCTAGACCTGGGCTCTGAAAGTAGTCACTGCTCACCTTTGTGTCACCCAGCGCCAAGCTTAGTGCCTGACAACTCCTAAGAGTTCAAAAAGTATTGGTTGAATGAGTAACTGTGTGAACAAATGAGTCAATGGACAGTTGAAGGAGAGCACCCCTTATCACCATTCATGTCCAGTAGGTGTTTAATAATGATAAGCATCAGGAGCTAGATGGATGTCAGATACTTGCAGGTTACAACCTTGTGTAGGTCTGGTAACTCATTATGGCAAGCTGTGATCATTATAGCCCAGAGTTCCAGTGCCAGGAAGATGAGTCCCCATAACTTCTGGCTGCAAAAACCAGCAGGGGTGGAGTCAGTGGAAGAAGTTTCTGGAATCCAAAGCATTTCCTCTTAAATAATCCACATGTGGACTTACTCAGACTCACTCCCTCTGAGCTCCAGCACCAGGGTAGCATCTTGAAAGTCACCAGTGGCATATGGGGAGGAACTGAAGTGTCTGGCATCAAGGAGAGAGCTGGGGGACAGCTTCCTCCCAGACAGAAAGGCAGACAGAGGTCATTGTCACTTTCTAAATGCTCCTCACACAAAGCCACAGGCCCGGCAGGCAGGCTCTGTTCCACCAATACAGGCCCATCCAAGCTGCTAATAGTTGCTTTTCCATTTGAACATCTGATCTTGGCTCATGCTTCACAACTTCCTAAATTCTCTCAACTAAGCAATAGCTGACTTCAGTGACACCCCAGTTCCTGTACCTCTTTCTAAGTGGCCCCAGGCCCAGCACTAGCCTAAGCCAACCTAGATTCACAGCTTGGCTTTGCCTGGGAGCCTACAAGCCCAACACAAGTAGCAGCCATCTCACGTTGTTTTATAGCTCAGGCACGGTGACCCTGGGAAAAACATAGGTGGGGCTGACCTTCGTCTGCACCATCCAGGACCCCAGAGCCTGTGCTCACCCAGTGAACAGCTAAAGACCATGTCAAAGCACCACCATCCTACCCCTACACAACTGATCCTCCACGGAGAGCAGAGGTAGGTGGTGAGTGGTCATAGCCAGCCCTTGCAGCTGACTGGCCTGGGTAAATCCTCCCATTGACCTGTCAATAGTAAACAGAGCTCAACTTCAAGAGGAGGGTGAATTCAGCCCACATGGAGGGAGCAACTCGAGTACCCACGTTGGGGGATAGAAGAGGCAGTGCCACTGGACCCTACTACTACATCTGGCCATGCTATCAATACAGGGAGTCATAGCAGCTCTACCTAACTAGAACAGGAACAGAATCATAAATATGGAAATCATTTGGAAGGTTATCAGCAGGGAGGGAGAAGGCAAAGAATGGAAGAAAAGGTAAAAGGATTAAGAAGCCATAATTGGACTTTGGGCCAAGATGAGGTGTAGGTAGATACACTTTGACTCCTCACACAACCAAAAGAAGGACAATAACAAATTTAAAAATTAAAAATAGCCAGAAGTTCCAGAAAATCAAATTGTATGAAGCCTTACAACCAAGGAGTTAAACAAGAAACATTCATCCAGACCAGGATGAGGGGTGGAGTCAGGCAGCCGGGGTGGAGAAGACACTTGGTAAGGCAGCAGCTGGAGGATCAGGCAGTTGAGGCAGCAGTTGGCAGACTGGGCAGTCCCACATTTGCATGCGGATAAACCAGAGGAAAAGCTGGAGAGTGAGACAGACCATGCAACCCAGCATTCCAGTATGGAAAACTAAAGCCTCAAAATCTCTGACTGTAAAAACCTGTGAGAGATGAGGCAGTGGGAGAAATTCCCAGCCTCACAGGACTGTTCATTGGAGAGGCCCACAGGCTCCTAGAACGTACACAAACCCACCTACCTGGGGAATCAGCACTAAAAGGGCCCAATTGGCTTGTGGGTAGCGGAGAGAGTGACTGAGAGCCTGCCAAGAGCCCAGCAAGTGGCACTGTTCCCTCTCAAGACCCCTCCCCCACATATAGTATCACAACGCAGTGACCTGTGTTGCCCCGCCCTGGCAAATACTTACGGCTCCACCGCTTTCAACGTTAACAGGAGCTCTGAGACAAAGAAATATGTCCCAAATGAAAGAACAGATCAAAGCTCCAAAAATAGAACTAGGTGATGAAGAGATAGCCAACTATCAGATGCAGAGTTCAAAACACTGTTGATAAGGATGCTCACAGAAATGGTTCAGTATGGTCACAAAATGGAAGAAAAAGTGAAGGTTATGCAAAGTGAAAAAAAGAAAAATATACAGGGAACCAACAGTAAATGAAGGAAACCAGAATTCAAATCAACAATTTGGAGCAGAAGGAAGAGAAAAACATTCAACCAGATCAGAATGAAGAAACAAGAATTCAAAAAATTGAGAAGAGGCTTAGGAACCTCTGGGACAACTTTAAACAATCCAACATCTGAATCATAAGGGGTGCCAGAAGGAGAAGAGGAAGAGCAAGTAAATGAAAACTTATTTGAGAAAATAATGATGGAGAAATTCCCCAAACTGGTGAAGGAAATAGACTTCCAGGAGATCCAGGAAGCTCAGAGTCCCAAAGAAGTTGAACCCAGGGAAGCACACAACACACAATTACACTATCCAGTATCAAAGATAAGGGGAGAATCTTAAAAGCAGCAAGAGAAAAGGAAATAGTTACGTACAAAGGAGTTTCCAAGGGACTATCAGCTGATTTCTCAAAAGAAACCTTGCAGGAAAGAAGGGGCTGGAAAGAAGTATTCAAAGTCATGAAAAGCAAGGACATACATCCAAGATTACTCTATCCAGCAAAGCTTTATTTAGAATGGAAGGGCAAATAAAGTGCTTCCCAAATAAGGACAAATTAAAGGAGTTCATCATCACCAAGCCCTTATTATATGAAATGTTAAAGGAACTTATCTAAGAAAAAGAAGATAAATACTAGGAACAGTAAAATGACAACAAACTCACAACTATCAACAACTGAGCCAAAAAAACAAAAACATAAGAAAACTAAGCAAACAACTAGGACAGGAACAGAATCACAGAAATGGAGATCACATGGAGGGTTATAAGCAGCAAGGGGAAGGGGGAAGAATGGAGGAAAAGTTACAGGGGCTAATAAGCATAAATGGTAAGTACAAAATAGATAGGGGGAGGTTAAGAATAGTATAGGGAAAGGAGGAGCCAAAGAACTTATATGTATGAACCATGGATATGATCTAAGCCCGGGGGGGGGGGGATTCCTGGAGGGAGGGGGTACTGGATGGAGGGAGGCAAAGGGGGAAAAATTGGGACAACTGTAATAGCATAATCAATAAAATATACTTAAAAACAAACTAATGCTTTTATTTTTATGACACATTAGTCTCTTAAATTATGTAGAAAACAAAATGTAGAGTTACAAGCCAAAGTTACAATAACACTAGTTTTTAGGCTGATAATTCTTTTGTAAAAAAATGTTATAGTCTCTTATCATGTAGAAAAAAAGGGGGGGATTAAACCATTTCTGTAATAGCACTGGCTTTCATAATTGCCCATATTTACCTTCACTGAGACCTTTATTTCTTCATATGGTTTTGAGTTACTGTCTAGTTACTTTCATTTCAACCTAAAGGACTCCCTATAGCATTTCTTGCAGGGAAATTCTAGTGGTAAAAAAAGCTCCTAAACATTTTTTTTAAATCCTTACCTACCTATATGCTTATTTATCTTAGAGAGAGAGAGGAAGGGAGAGAGATAGACAGACAGACAGAGACAGAGACAGAGACAGAGAGAAACATTGATCGGTCGGTTGCTTCCCTCTGCACCCTGACCAGGGATCAAACATGCAGCCATCATTGTCCTGATGGGAAACCAAACCCATAACACTCTGGTGAACAGGAAGATCCTCCAACCCACTGAGCCGCCTAGCCAAATCAGTCCTTAACTTTTATCTGGAAATATCTCAATTTCTCA